CCCCCTCCTTCTTCTCATGAGACAGCTAGCCTGCCAGTGTTTGCCGCAAGTTCTGGACATCATTCATGGGAAGCCGCGTGGATCCAGTGTTGTACCATCTCTGATATTTTTTTCAGAAAGCTCCAATGATAGGCAATCCGAAAAAAAATAAAATAAAATAAAAAATAACAGCGATGATATCCCATAATTTAGGCCTTTAACGTCCTACAAATCCATCACGTGCATGGATCTTAATACCTCAATAATATATATATTAATATTTCAACATGGATATCTTTATATAAAGATTTTGAAATCTTTATAATGGACCAAAAGAGCACAAGAGCCTAAATGCTCATTAATTATTCATGATTTTTTGAAGTCGTTCAATAAACTCGCGGATCGTGTTTATCAGCAGTATCAGGCTAAAACCTGATAAAAATGAGAATATAAGTAGAACTAATTAGCATGTAAAACTGGTATATATATATATATATATATATATATATATATATACTTACTGTAATATTCTCTTTCGATTCACTTTTGAAAATCGCTTTATGGGATTGTGAGTAAAAAAGAAGGGAAACAGTGACGCAAGTAAAACTTTTCTATCTTCGAAGTCATTGATTTTTTTTAGTTGTTATTTTAATTATTTATTGATTTGGGTTACACTGGGTTTCGCAGGGTGCCTTGTTATAGTCAATTAACTTTTTATAAAAACCCATTTCCTTAATTCTTACTTATTTAAATGACAAAGAGTAAAACGACAAGTTCCTACCCAAGGGCATAACTGACCCTAGGGAACCCCTTACGGYTTTGCTTCTTTCTCTACTTAGAGATAACGTGTGTTCTGAGACTAGGACAAGGTCAAGCAGACTGAAGCGTTTTGTTCACTGTGACGGTGTTTGCAGGTAAGAAATACCACAGAATCAGTGGGATAGAAAGAAAAACTAGATAAATTCGCTCACGCCAAATTCAAATAAAAATATGATTACTACTTATCCAATGTATACTGATCAGTATTAGATTAAATATTAAGTTGATTTTTTGGGGGGAAAAACTTTCCTATTATAATATTGAAAAGTTATTTTGAATATTCAATAACCTGGTCATTCCTAAAAGTCTAGACTCAAATTTAATATACTAATCCCCAGGATGGAGCGGGCTTCTCTAGAAAAACATTGGAACACGATGTTGTTTCCATTTGCGAACTTTACGTTCCAGCTCTCTGATTTCTAAAATGGCCTCGAATTTAAGGACTGATAGATGACGAATATCTTATGGGAATCTAAATTGAACTTAAAACTTTTCTCGTTAATATCAATTCTGAAAGGTTCTCTCCTAACATTCACGGACTGAACCGTTTCGAAAASGCTCGACATATTTTTGGTGTGGGTATAATGTGCACAGCGCACATTACTGTCTCTTAACAGTGGTACGCCCGGCGAGACTTCCATCTAAAGTTACATAAGACTAAAGTTACTTTTTTCCCTAAGTGTAATTTTATTGGATGTCCTTTACTACTTTTTAATTGCACTCGCAAAGGAGGAAGAAAGGAGGGCCTGACTGCAATGCTTTTTGAAACTCTTTTTGCGCGTTCACGTTCTGAACGCGATTCTGATTGGACAAAAAGCAATAGGGATTTACCGTTAATCAAATTACAAATCTCTCATCATGAGATAGATCTTGCAATTGTATCTTATTAACAATCTAGCTCGCTAGCTAATTTCACTGAAGTATTTTATTCAAAATGAATCATAATGTTTGGGAGTAGACGTTGGAGAGATCTTAGAGTACTGCTCAACAATATTTTTCTGGAATCAAGGGGCAACAGGAAACGTGTTTCGGTGAATCGAAATGTCTGTCAGAAGATGCCCAGCAGTTGAAATGTTTTTTATACTCTTCGCCACTTGACTAAAATTAGCTTAACCCATTAAAAGTATCCTAGCTTCATTTATCTTACGATCGACAAAATTACTCGATTCTGATTGGACTATTCTAAATGAGAACGACTTTCAAAATCTAAAAAGTATTAAGAGCGGATAAAAGTATTTTATGAGCTGAGCTGAAGAACCGGCTGTAACCCCAAGAAAACGCACCTGAAGATCTTGACGAAGTCTTTAAACGCTTTTTACGCAGACGTCAGAAACAAAAATGGTAAACAGTACGAGCCAAAAAGTTTAAAAGTACTGACGGCAAGCCTTGAGTAAGAAAAATTATCCATATTCCATCATTAAGGACCTCCAGTTCAAACAGTTCAAACAAGGTCAAGCTACTACACGTGAACTCGACAAAGGAAAAATGCCAAATGCTGCCAACGTATTATCCGTAACAGAAAAAGAACAGCTATTATATGGCAGAGAGGGAAAATCTTGGTTCAAGCAATCAAAGAGCACTTTCCCAAACAATGTGATGGATTCTCACCCAGCATTTTGGTCTCAGAGGACGTCAAGAGCACCAATCTATGACTGCTGAAAAATTTAAAATATGTCAAGAAGATCGATATGTAGAGTACATAATTTTCGATGAAAATCCAACTAAGACAAGGGAAGGTGGCTTGAATACAAACTGACAATTAGTACTGCCAAAAATGTTTGCCAAGATATTTATTAGTATTAATACAACTACTCAGCAGTATTCTGGATTCAATCGCGTGGATTCGTATTAGCCTAAAGGAAAATACGGCTTTCACTCTTTAGTTAATAAGGAATGAACAATAATATATCGTTGAATACTACGCGGTAATACAGCTGGTAGAATTTCACAGTTCCACTGCACTGGTTTGGACATTTAAAAAGACAATATTTGAAGAATATATTGAGCGCATGTTATTGTTGTTATACGCCATGTATTTTGAACAACTACTAACGTATCAAGAAATGCCCTATTGTTCGGTACTAAAGTTGAAGAACAATAGCAGGGATTAGCAAAGGATTAGCATATAATTAAGCCTGACAAGTCACTCGTAAATTCGCCAACTCGAGTGGCAACGAAAACCATCGGAGAAGTTTCGTAAAACTTTCGTAAAGGGAGCAAAATCACAACTCTACCCCCCTTAGGCTAACTTTTGTATAGTTAGCAAACTCTCACTACACTACCCCCACTAGGTTAAAATCGCTTGAAGTATCCTTGCCGATGGGGGTAGGGATGAGGTGGATTTTTAAGTGGACTGAAGATGTTTCAAATGAAACCGGCTTCCACTAATTGAGTCGTTTTAAGTGCGTAAAAACATGTTTTTAAAAAGGAATTTAACCTTATCAATACTAACATGAAAAATTTCATTGGCTAATAATGTGTAGGCGCGTCATCGACCCCGAAAGGGACGGAACGAGTTCCGAATAGCATTGAAGCCCTCTTCTCTCCCTTTCTCCCCTCCCCTCTCCTCCCGTTGGGCCTGAAACTCAGGTTTCTCTCGTTGTAAGTTAGTGACGATTTACAAAAAAATCACCAAATCCTCCTTTAAATTTCTCCCCTATCAATATTACTTTCTGCTTTATTCTGGTTTCAGTCRCATGCCCTATGGTGGCTCCTGGCGTATTTCTGGTGGCTCCACATCCCTTAGAACTACAGAGACTTATACTCACTACTACTGCTGCCCAGGATGGCTAAAGAGTGGACGTCACTGCTCAATACGTAATGTGTTCTGATGATATAGAATGTACAGACCGTCTTACAAGGATCGGAAGTTGTAAAATACGAAGCTATAAAATTATAAGTCAGCATTAAAATAATTTTTAAATAAGTCATAATATATCAAAAACAGAAAAAAAAGTTATCGAGCCGTTTTTGATAAAATCTTTAAAAAAATCGTACATAAAAAAATAACGTCTGGGCATCGAGTAAAAAAGTACTGATCTCTATCTCTTAGATGTCAAAACCTAGCCTAACAGTCAAATAACTATGTTTGTGGGAATTAGTTTTCATTATTGTTCGTTTACTTATAATACAATTAATTCCCAATTTGTAGTCTGTAGAGTCCCAATTAAGTCGCTTAATTTACTTACAATCGATCTTTTCGTACAATTCAGAATTTATATATATTTGTGGTGTTTTAAAAGTTTTCAAATTAGACTCGCCTAAAGGTTCGTCCCGAATTATGAAAACTTTCAAAACTTCATTCGCTTCTATAAATGGAGCTACAGTAGCATTCAAAAGAGCACCATGACCCCTATTTTTCATTTTTGTTTTCTTATATATTCAAAAACCACTTATGTATATATATATGTTAAGTGTATGCTACATCGAGTGTATACAGTCAATTCAAAAAACGTTGTCGTCGACCGGCTCAAGCCTACGCGACTGGACCGAAAGGAATATGGGTAAAAATCACTGAAGCGGTTAAATATTCGTTCTGAATTAATTGTTCCCGCTAGTAACAAGATAATAATGGCCAGAAACAATCCGTCAGATGCATGTCTTTGGGTTTAGGGAAAGGAAAACAAAGTAGTTATGATTCAGTTCACAATTTCGAAAATATGAAGGCATTAAAAAAAAGTCTTCTTCGACACTTCCCGCTCGCCTACGAAGGTTCGTGCTGTAAACCAGGCATAACTAGTCATATAAAATTATGGAGTCAACTCGGCTTCAATGATTGCTACCCAGAGTTCCTTTCGGTCCAGTCGCATAGGCTTGAGCTGGTCGACGACAACATTTTTTGAATTGACTGTAAGCAGATTAAAAAATCTGCCTCAGCTGGGTTCTCGCGAGAACCCAACTGAGGCAGATTTTTTAATCTGCTTATACACTCGATGTACCATACACTTAACATATAGATCTATACCGAGTGACAAAAATACATTTCATAAATTCATTTAATATATTTATATTTATATACATATTTAGAAACTTTTATAAAAGAAACAAAAAGTTGCGCGATTGCATTACCTAAAGTTTCCTCAAAAAACATCGATGGCAATATTGCAATCAGTATATCAAATGTTTATAAAAACATAACTCTAACCTCTGATTACATCATTTCCACATCATTTAAAACAATTCGGGAAAGATCTGGAAATCGTCAGTTTATTGATTTAACATACTATTGACGTTAATAAACCGTGAATATCTATATAACCGCTCTTTTTTCCCTTMATTTTCACAGGTGACCCTTGTCCCAAAGGAAGAGAAAACTGCACCGGTATTCGCATTGATATATTGTACTTCAATACACTTATAATAATTAAACCTTGCAATTTGCTATATTTCGTCTTGTTATTTGCAACTTATGATTAAACGCTGAAAAGAAGCACCATAGGGCATAGCTTTACTTTCTAATTCATTTAGTTCTAAAGAATCAAGGAAAGATAAAGGCGGAAAATAAGTAAAATAAACGTCTAAATTAACTACAGTTTGAATTAGCCAAATGTTTGTTTGAATTAAGCGAGGAGCTATGTTCATACAATCTTATCGAAACTGCCGACAACACCATTAGAACGTTTTGCTGATAAGTTTACTCATCGATTTAATATTGCTTATTTTATGTTTCCTTTCGAAGACTCGTAGGTCGAAAAATTCATGGCAAGTAGCAATATTCATCATGACAAAAAAACAAACGCCAATTGGCTCCATATATAAGCAAAAATATCCATGTCGTCAACGTAGGTCTTTGTAAAATATTCACTTGCCCAAACAATCAATTTCTGGCACTATTTGAAAAATAACAAAGTACTAAGCAAAGTAGAAACTGAAAGGAAAATATAAGGCAGATTACTCATCTTGCCAATTAGATCGAACATTCAATTTTAGGGGACTATAATTCGAATATCAACAAGCATAAGAGGGGCACATATTGGTATCCACAAGTTCGCCAAAGCTTGTCTTTGATTAATATTTTTCTCTTAAATATTTTAAAGTCTCTCACACCAAATAAGATCAATGCTTTATGTTACAGCTGAGGATAGATGAGTCAAGTAATGTTTAATAACCATTATTAGCATTCCTTCTTGAGCGTTATAAGATAATTGATCTTGCAATTAAATAGTGATTGCTTGCAAAAGAGTCTGGCAATTAGCCAAATGAATGATTAATTTGAATGTTTTCGTTTCAATGTTGCTGTAGATTTTCCAATCAACCACGTTCCTAAGCCATCTGTGTCATACCGTAATGACTCTGCTGTGCCCAAGTTGGAGATGGTTTGCAGTTTTGACTTTCCTGTGTGGAGGAACGTCTCATACCTGGTTGAATGGTATGGAAGATCAACTAAACCTGTCAAGAGGGACACATGGTGTGTTCCAGACAAGCCAGCAGATGCTCAGAATGATTGTACTCGAAGACAAAGTTCCATTGTACTTCCAGATCACTTTGCATTAGGCGACACGGTGAGTTGCAAAATATATAAGTCATATCGAATGACAAAGGAATAAGTAGAGGCTTGAACACAGTTCTATCTTTGAACAAATGAATTCGTTGTCACGACATCTAACGCAGGGCCAGGGGGAGGGGATTGATCGATTTTTCTATATCGTCATGATTCCGACCCGGAGGGGGGATGGGAGGGGGGACGTAGAAAAGTTTTATTTTATAGTGTGGCTTTATCATCTTGGCTTATCTCCTGGTGCTATTGCTTACTTTTTTTATTTTTCTAATATATAATAAACAGGTATGGTGCAAACTTTTCATGAAGTTCTCTACAAAAAAGACCAATAAATGGACAGCAACAGGAAAAGACAGTAATCAGTACTACGTGGGAATCGAGGTAGCTTAGTTCCAGCCTATAGTTTCTTTTTGTGTGTGCGATATGCAATTGCTTTGTAAATACTCTGTGAATGTTTCTAGGTTTCTCCACGTCACGTGATTGTCAAAGAATGCAACGTAGCAGAGAACATAACAGTTACCTTAAGGCCAACTGTTCCTATTTTACCCACAATGAATGTCCCTGGATCTGACAGTGTAGTGGTGTCTGTGTTGATACCCCAAAAGTACAAAGCACAAAGAAGACAAGCTGCAGTTGACAAATGCCATGTTGAACTGAAGACACAAGACATAACTCGTGGTAAAACAATCACGATTAGAGGAATCTGTGACAACCAACAAGATCAAAGACAAAGCTTTTCCTTTCGTTTCAAACCGCAAACCACGAGCACCAGTTGGTCAGATGTGGATAGCTATCAAATGCCAGCAGTGAAGGTACAAGATCATTAATTTTGTATTTTAAGGGTCTAGTTACAGAGTCGAAAAGGAGAGAGAAAGGTCAGCAAGCACGTAGAAATTCTCACCATACTCACGTATACTCACATACTCACATGCGTACTAGTTGTGCTGAAATTTCATATCATGGGAATGCTGATATCTTGGCGATGTCGACAAGTTTGGTCAACTTAGATCCACTTAGGATTTTTTAATTTCAATTCATTTTGCCATTTTACATTTCGCGTATTGTCTCTGTTGGTGTTGTTGCTTTTTCCTTATGTACTAACGCTTTAGAAGTACATTGCAATAATTAATCTCTTTCTCCAATGCAAGATTTCTGTATTGTGAAAATTCTCACGCAAAAGATCCTGAAATTTTCAGACAAGATAACTGTTATATGTGCTTTTTCCTTTAAGGTTACAGTGGATAACACAGAAACACGATTGTGCCTAACTACCACCGATCCTAATTTGTTTACATTTGACAAAAGGTAAATCTCTCAGTTGTAAATTCTTTTCCATCGCTAATTCTACTTTCAAATATTCACTTAACTAAAGAAATTCTTTTCTCCAACAATGCAAGACGGAATTCCTCTACAAATTACATTAATATTTGATGTTTACATTGCAGAAAATATTTCTATAACGAGATGGGTGATTATGTCATGTACAGCAACGAAGCAAAGAAAGTGCAAGTAAAAGAAAAGAAAATGTTTGAACATAGGTAAACTAGTGATGGATCCTATACCTATTGTCAGTCGTATTTTATTTTCTCGACAGGTTCATGTTCGTCTTTGGATATGTGCTGGCCAAATGACTTGTGTATGCGGTGCAGCAATACGAGAGGGAAAAGACGTCATAGTTATATCTATGTGTAACAAAATGAAAAATTCAATGCCTACAATACTGAGGACTTTCAAACGAAGTCCTGGAAGTCTATCCAAAGGAATACAAATCACTAAGAAGATCAGTGGTTCATCATTGGAGCAGGAGGTACATTTATATCACTGAATTCCTAAAAAGACAATTTAGATTAATAATTATTTGTTACCATAGTTCTTCCTTTTCATATGTAAAGGTAATTCTATCTTCGGGTATAAGAGTCTCAGTAAAACGTTCTGGAAGGTCACTGGATGTTCGTATCAATGCACCATCTACTGAMAAGGGAAAAGTCTTGGGGCTTTGTGGTAACTTTAATGACGATCCGGAAGACGATTGGAACAAAGGAGGTGATGGTAAACCTCATGATAATGAAAAACTATTTTCAGCAAGCTGGCGGTAAGTCAATGACACAAATAGAACTTATAACGCATGGGCAAGCAACAAATGCTACAATTTTGTTTATATTGCTTTAACAGTCTTAAGGAAGGGAAGAGCTTTTTTGAGGTTCTCCCTGAACAAGAACTTGAAGAGCAAGTTGAACAAGGGAGATCCTGCTATTGTGGCATCGAAGGYGAAACAACACAGGATGAAAGATGTGATGACAACGCAAATCTTTTTACAAGAATCGACGCTACTCAGATAGAAGTACTTAATACTCAAATAAATGACCAGTCACACTTTGGTATGAAAAGATCTGTAGACAGTCACTGGTATAGTGATGACATCATTGATCACGTGGAACGTAGCTACTATGTGGATGATCTTCATGTACAACTCGCTGTAAACCGCATACGAAACAAGAGATCACCGATAGAAATCATACCAGAAAATAAGGCAACCGAGTATTGTAAAATACAAATTGAAGAAACAAAAGCAGGAAAGGCATGCATGAAGATCTCGGAAACCAACTTAAAAAATGCCATGATACAGTGTGTTAACGACTTAAAGGTAAAGAGATATTTAATATGAATATGAAAACAGTAGGAAAGGGTGCATTATTACGAGATATGTGAAATTAGAAAAAAAAATCAAAAAAAGTATTTGCTTTTATTTTGACACTCTTAGTTGTCAGGAGACAAGACATTTGCAGTGTTGGCATTTGACACCATGAAGTACATATGTGAAGATACCACATTAAAGAACCTTTCACTCTACACTCATACTGCAAGTGGTGACTTAATGCCTCCCAGAGAGGTAGTAAAAGACTTGTGTCCTGCAGACTGTAGTGGACGTGGCAAGTGTAAGAACAGAACCTGTATATGTGAGGAAGGCTATACTGCACTGGACTGTTCCATGAAGGTTAATTCAGTTCCTGAGTTGTTGGGGTAAGTAGAATGCAAACAATACGTGAACAGTAACTGTAATTGTGAAAACATTGGAAAAGGATTTTTTTCGATTGAAAGTCTATTATAGCCTTTTTGGTCACTGTTCTAGCTTTCAGCTTTATAATGAATCGTTTTTCCATTCCCTTTTTATGAAAGGTTTGGCATTTCCTTTCTCGAAACCTTTTATATATATCTTTCCAAAACAGTACGCAATGATTGAATGGTTCCCAATTGGTAGTAAAAAAAGAGTACTGACAATCGAATCTCTTTTGAAAACAGAAAACTAATAAGTTAATCCATTTTAGCTTTTTCCTTTGACTTCATTTTTAGGATTTACAATAGTGGACTCTGTGATATACGAGAACGACCATGTAAAAAGACAAATATCTTGGGTCAGAACTTTATCAAATCAAAGAACCTAACATGTCATGTACAGGAAGAAAAGGTATTTTTGTGAGTCATCATCGATAGATATATTTAATAAAGTGCACATGAGTAGKTTCCGATCGGCAAACCTGTAATTTTGTGCTGATTTAAAAATTTRASYTCTWRWGTCATCAAATGATAGTAAYATTAATTGTCTKTGAAACCTGTGATGGTTTGTTTCAACCAATATCTTGTGATTATTATYCTAGGTTTATCAAGGTACCTGGTCTCCTCGTGGAATTCCTKTCACATCACAAGGGAAAATGACTGATCTGTTTGGYGTACAGTGCAACCTGCCTGAGCCTCCGACTAGACTTGGTGACTACGAACACGAGAGTACCCCTRCTGGGGGACTTTTGATYTCGATTTCTAACGATGGATTCAATACTAGTGTTCRACGACTGCGTCATSTGACTTACGAYTCAAAGTGCATGAACTGCAGTAAATCAGGAAAATGTGAATTTAAGGTACGTATTCAATTGACAATGAGGCTAATCCAATGCAAGTTTTGAAGCAAATGATAGGAGGAGAAAACCCGGCCTGTTCATCATAAATACGTATAGAGGAGTAGTAAGTATCTCGCCGGTGAGCATCTGGTGCTGTTATTCTGCAAGTGTCGAAACAATGGTTTAGTAAAATCGATACCCGTCCGTCTTTCACAGATCTGAATTTGTCAACTTCTCGAAAACAGTATTTTGGAATTCAGGCTTTAGCACATCTCCTAACTGTTCTATTTGTTAGTTCGACAATAACCACTGTTTGATCAAGTGCCATATGATTTTAATATTCTCTTTAAGGTACTTCTAAAACTAACGTCATTGGTGTYCTTATCTAGCGAACAACGAATATGTTTTATATTCTTAAGTAAGGGTAGGATACATATAATATTTCTTATTTACCCGTTCAATGGAGGATTTGATGTGTGTGTGTTTTTATTTTAGAMYRATTCCTGTTTAATAAAGGGACATTGCTTTGCTGCCAATGAACCCAACCCACGTGACTGGTGCCAGCAGTGTTTACCACATGTTGACCATAAAWMGTGGACAAGTAGAAAAAGTAWGTTTGAATTATRGAAACCTCTACCTATTATTACATCACGGGCTCTGACATCATACTTTTTCCTTTGTAACTGCACAGACAATCAAGTTCCCAGGTTTCCTTCAAAGACCACCTATTTTGCCTTACAAGGAGAAAGACTTGTGATCCAACTGAAAGCAACAGACCCTGATAACCGTCCCCTAACATACTCTGTATTCAGTTCTACAGCTACTGGATATACACTCAGTCTATCTGGTTTATTGACATGGAAGGTGACATCCAATCAGAATAAAAAGTTTACCTTTCAAGTGACTGACGAGTGTGGCGCGTTTGATATAATACATGTGACCGTACATATAGTACAATGTCCTTGCCTCAATGGTGGCAAATGTGTACCTCACCCCTACCACCCACGGGGATCTGGATCATACCAATGTCAGTGTCCCAGAGGAACCGGTGGAGAACGGTGCCTGAAAGTTTGTTCCRGGTCTGAATGTAAGTATAATAATACAATTCTTATTTCCCCTAAATATTTTCTATTCAACTTTGCATGCTTGTTCGCATTCAGGTCCTCGTGGTCTCGCAGTGAAACCTATAGGGACAACCAAACTTGAAGTGAAATGGAACGAACCTAAAGACTTACGGTCTGTGGATTATTATTGGCTAAAGGTAAGTTTAAAGTGTTAAACAAACATCACAGACTTCAACAAAGAAAACAAGAAGAAAAAAGAAAGAAAGAAAAGAAACAAACAAACAAAGAAAGAAAGAACACAGTTAAATACAGCCTAAAAATCAATGACTTTCAAACATCATGATAAAATATCTTTTGTGTTGAAGTATGGTCATACAGACAAACTAACCTGGAAAATAAAAGTGCTAAAGACTGTCACAACCAAGATCTTAACTGGTTTGAAAAAGTTCGAAAATTACCGTGTTTCTTTGACTGTGATGTTCTCCAATGATGGTGAAAAAACGACGGAAGCTGTAGCGAAGACTGGCGAGGATGGTAAGAAAGGTTTACATTTTCATTCGTATGCACAGTTTCATAACACTTTGATTTTTTATGTAAGTATTCGTCTATATTAGATAGACATGCGGCACAGATGTTTATTTTTTTGTTCGAAGTATATATTTTATCTTATTCCCCGTTGTTATAAATCTTATATTACCGTATATCTTCTACAATGCACAAGGATAAATATAATCATCGAAAGGAAAATCTTATATTTTTTTACTACACGGAAGTGTGTACCAAACAGGTATAATAAGCAGATKCAGACGAAAGATGCAAAATACACATATATTTTTACATTTATTTTGGATTACTTTAAAATCCCTATTGCATGTATTGTCATCAGTACCTGACGCAGCACCAGTCGTCACTGACATCTCTCCAGTCAGATATGATACCATGAAGGTCACGTGGTCATCTATACCAGAAGATCAACGGAACGGTATCATCAGAGGCTATAAAATATACTACAAGGAACTGCTGTATCCTAGAAACAAATGGAAAGTGTTTGTGGTTACCGGAGGTGATGTATCCAGTACGATGGTGACTGGACTAAAGTCATACACTGAGTACTGTGTTAAGATGTATGCCTTTACCAGTAAAGGAGAGTATCCTGACTGGGGAAGAAAGCAATGCAAAATAGTCAAGAGTAAGAAGAATTGTACATGTCTTTAAAACTGCGCTATAAAAATATTAAATGGATAAAACTGACTTAGAAAATAAGATCAGATCAAACTCAAATCGTAGTCTAATCACATATCACCATTGACCTTAGTTAAATTTCCTTGTTTCCATTGGACACATTAAAACCTCAATTAGGTATATATTACCGAGGCTAAAGTGCTCATCTGATCAAAGGAATGGTAACTCAAATAAATGTATTTTATATTTATTAAGTATAAATGCCAAAACGTGATGGTTTGCAAGTGGCATGGGTGGCATGCATGGTTTGGAGTCAGTTTTATTCTCTTGCTGTTCTTCTTGAAGCCTTTCTTTAAGTGCTATTATAATAAACGAATACTTTCAAACTACTTGGTGTTTGTTTTCTACAGCTCCTTCGCTTCCTATCAAAGTACAAGCTAAGGCCATGAGTATGACAGAAGTACTTCTGAAGTTCTTGAAACCAGAGCACTCGTTTCCATCCAATAAAGTACAAGTGGATTATGGAAAACTGAAAGACGAGTTGAATATGAARAAAGCCTGCTATGGTTCTTCTTGTGTGATTGATAACCTTGAGCCAGACACCATGTACTACTTCAGGGTGATTGGATATGTGTACCAGAGAGGAGAAACGCCAACATTCACTAAGATAAAGACATCAAGAGATGAGGTAATGCCTTTGTTACTCTTTTTTTACTCTTTTTAGGAAAAAGGGAATTTGATAATATGAAGAAAAATATTAAAGGGCTTCTACTTCATCTTATATCATAACCGTCTTATGGTCACCTTAAGTAAGAAGGACCTAAGTACAAGTCCCAATAAATGCACAGTGTAATGTGCTAAGGGTATGTCTATGGATAAAACATTTACGCATTCAGTTCATATTGAATATGGAACCATTTTCCATGCCAGGAGTTTTCCAAGTGGAATTAAAGTCTTGTCTTATAAGCAAGCAGGAAAAAAATCAGTTTTCGAGAAAGCTAAAAAAATAGGTTCTAATGAAATTCGTCTTTGTATTCTCATAAGGCTAGTAAAACCCAGAACTAAATGTACAGTAATCGTAGAGTGAAGTCACTTAGCCCGTGATGAAATATCAGACTAGTTCACATTTAGTAAACCAAATTCCATTCCAACGGATTTCAGACGTTTTTGTCCTCCTTTTAATAAGCGGTTCCCCCGGTAGTAAGCCCACCAACCCCATCCATGGCTTACAACAGGTATTCTATCGTCTATTTAATTGACAAAACACACAGTGAATGAAAATCTGAATGTCGTCTTTTTTCTCTTTTCAGGTTCTTAAATTCAAACGTCAGATTAAGTAAAGGAAGATACGACCTTTTTTACTGCTTTTTTGTGTGTAATTTTGCATGCTAGCATAATCTTATTGGGGATTGAATTGTGCATGATAGCGTAGCGGTGATTGACATAAGATGCGATATTTACTTGTATCGTGTATCTTTATTACATCATTGGTCACGGGGCTCAAACTATTATATCACCATTGTATAACAAAATTAGAATATTCTAACAGTTAAAGAGAATAACAAGTATGCGTTTACCTCGTTATTGATTTCAGTTATTACCTTCAAACAAAATATAAATAGACAAGACGTTCTTGGAGCGTGCACTGGGTTGCTTTATGTGCGTATATGATGGAGCTTATTAAAACCTTCATCTTTGTGTACCGCTATTTGGGGGGATGTTACTTTCTGAAATTCTCGATCTCTCCATTATTGATTATATTCTTGAATTAACTATGCAAAACTGAATTATTTGGAATGCCCGACCATATCAGTTCCAGCTCGTCTGAATTAAATTCAAATGGTCATTTGTTTTTCGATAACTTTCTGAAGTTCTCGATCTCTCCATTAYTGATGATTGTATTGAAAATAAAGTGTTTTTCTTAATGTCCAAACCAGTGAATCCGAATGAATCTCGGTTATTAAAAGGATTTTAAAAACTCAGCGAAAAATATTTTACTACCAAAGTTACCAGCCTTATTACCGAGTAGTATTTAACGATATTTTCATGTATAAATCTTAATAACTAAAAAGACTGAATGCCGTATTTTTCTTTAGGCTCTACTAACACACGCGACTGAAGCCAGAATACTGCCGACTGAGGCCCCGTCCGGACTATGCCGGATAAATTTGAATCCGCAACTTTCACCCCGAAACCGAAAAAAACGTTTTCCGTCCACACATGAAAAGCTACACCTGAGTAGCTGTATTAATAGTAATAAATTTCTTAATCATATCCTTTTTGTAATCACTACCAAATCCTGCAATCTGATTGGTTCAAA